TGGCCGAGCCATGCCACTCGATCAACTCTAGTCCATTCAATTCATTCTCCGCGCCTTCTCCATCGTTCGGTATTTCCCCGAGTTAAATATTGAATATCTATTTTCTGAGTAGTCTCGTGTTCACAGCTTTGTGGATTGTGTGGCTATTGTCCAATGCCACTACATGTCATCATGATTGTTGGTTATCAATTGAAGTATCGTTATCGTGAAACTTGTGTCTTTCGATTGCGCCGAAAAAAATTAGATATTGTCAGGGTTTGCATCTAAATACGCGGCTTTGAGACGATCGATACTGATGCTATCGTTGGTTCGGTTCTGACCGATTATATAATACTTGAGTTCACGCTGAAGAACTTTGAATGGTCCTTCGTATGTCGCTTTGAGTGGTCATCGAAGTGAGACGTGAAGTACAAAATATGTGCACTATATCGTAGGTCAGATTGAACGAAAACATCAGTTGATTGAGGCCGAGTGGAAACAGGTTTAACTGAACGCACTGCGTTTTTAAGCCTGCTCGTTTAGGAGTTTAGATCCATATTCATCGAAGAAGATGAGGGATCCACGAATACTTCTGGAAGCCGCAGTGTCGTTTCGTAAATGATTTTCACTGCCGTGCATCCAATGTCAGCTTTTACCGCATCGCCAAGTATGGCAAGTGGAAGACCGTCGGTCCACTATAAAACGTTTATAGCTGAGTGTAAAGCTTTAGGCAGTCGGTGAAAGCGTTCTACCAACCCGTTTGCTTGTGGGTGGTAGGTGGTCGTTCGGAATCGTGTTATGCTTAATAGTGAAGTCAGACAACGGGAAAGTCTAGATTCAAAATGGCGTCTACGGTTTCGGTGATAGTTGAAGGACAACTGTAATTTGATACGCACTGTTCGACGAAGGCGCGGGTCACTGTTTTAGTAGTGTTGTCCTTTGTAGGTACTGCTTCTGGCCATCGCGTGGAACGGTCTACGCAGGTTAACAGATAAGAGTATCCATTTGAATCTGATAAAGGTCCTATCAAATCCAGATGAACATGGTTGAAACGAGAGTCGGGAGTTTTGAAAGAGCCTAAGGGACATTTTTCGTGTCTAATCACTTAGGATTACTGGCAGCCTACACAGGAGTGTGCCTACTCCCTCACGTCCTTATTCAAACCAGGCCAGGAAAACCGTTTTGCCATAAGCTTGATAGTCTCATGGACACCTGGATGAGAAATGTTGTGCAACGTATCGAAGACATTGTGTCGATAATCTTTCGGCATGGTTAGGCAATCCCTACCTGTAGATGTGTTGCGTTGTAAGGTTTCCTTACCTGTTCCCATCTGTTTAATGGATGGCTTAAGTGTTGTTGATGATAACTCGTGCTGAAGATCGGTGTCTTCTTTTTGACTCTGAGCGAGTTTAAAATGGTCGATTTTTTGGACACTGTTCAAGGAAGTCATACGAGACAGAGCGCCTGCCGCTATATTGTTTACCCAAGAAATATGTTGTGTATCTGAAGTAAACCGTGAAATTTAGACTAATTGTTGAGACTCTTGATGGGAGTACTTACGAACTTAAAGAGAAGGTAAGAGGTTTATGTTCGGCAAAAAGTAAATCCTCAGCCTTCTACAGAGTGTTGAAAGTGCTGTACAGCACAATACATAGCTAGAACTTCCCTACTGAAAGTGCTATACCGCGATTCAGTGTCTAGCAAACGTCTCGAGAAAAATGCCAAAGGTTGTCAGGAGTGGTTAACCCACTGTCGTAAGTCTCCTCCGACTGCTGAGTCGGATGCGTCTACTGCGATGCTAATGGATGCTTCAGTGTCACGACGAGCATGCATTGTTGCTTTAGCGATAAGTTCCTTAAATGTGAAGAATGCTTTTCGCGCGGTGTCGTCCGGATTGATGAATTTCGCATTTCCATGAAGTTGGTTGGTTAGCGGTTTCATATGTGACGCGCATTTCGGTATGAACCGTGTATAGAAACTTAAAAGGCCGTTAAACCTGTGTAATCGCTTGATGGTAGTCGGTTCTGGGTAATCCAGAATAGAAGCCATTTTGGTTCTAAGGGGTCGGATGCCTTGCGCATCAAGTGTGTCCTTGGGAAGTCTAATGAATCAGTTCCGATTTGGCATTTCTGAATGTCTACAGCAATGCTATGTTTTTGTAGTCTGTCGAAAACAAGATCTAATTGCTTGTGATGCGATTCTCTGTCCGAACTTGCTATTAGGCAGTCATCAACATACGCATGTGCGAAGTTCAGACCTCGAAAAACGTCGTCTATGAACCTATGGAAAGTTTGTGCAGCGTTTCTTAGACCGAAAGGCATTCGCGAAAATTCGTAGAGTCCGAAGGGAGTTATGATAGCTGTTTCCTGAATATCGTCAGTAGCCATAGGGATTTGGTTTTGTGCTTTAACCAAGTCGATTTTCGAAAAGACAGTTGTACCTTTCAAGGTAGCTGTCAAATCGTGAATATGGGTCAACGGATAACGATCGGGAATGGTTTTCACATTCAGTCGCCGATAGTCACCAATTGAACGTCAATCGTTGCTGTTCTTTTTAGGGACCATGTGCAACGGAGATGCACATGGGCTGTTTGACGGTCTTATGATACCTAAGTCTATAATGTGGTCGAATTCGTTTTTCGTCAACCTTAGCTTTTCGGGGGCTAACCGTTGAGCTTTAGAGAATACAGGTGGTACTGTAGTCGTGATGTGATGTCTAACGTTGCTGGTTACACACGGCAATTGCGGTTACCTTTGGTATATCCCAGAATACTTAACGAGTACTGGTTGGTAGAACGGGTCTGTCATGTGCTTAATTATAACTGGAAATAATCCGCAACCAGAGAAAGAAGTTACACAAACAGATAAACTAGTGTTTCCGTCTACTAGCCTCCATTTGCGCGTATCGATGAGGAGATTATGGTGTTGTAGAAGGTCTATACCAATGTATGACATAGAAACATCCGCGACAACGAAAATCCAGTGTATGGGTTTGCGTAAACCCATGTTAGGGTAAACGTACCTTCTACCATATGTGGCAATAGGCTTTCCGACTGCCGCCTATAAGTTTAAAGCCGATTCGTGAAGCCGGTCGCTAGAATTCGCAGGAAGAACACTAACTTCTGCGCCAGTATCGACGAAGTAGCGAACTCTCGTTGTCACATCTGTGACGTACAACAGACGGCTATGTTTGCTAGCTACGGTTGCCGCTAACGCGTGCCGGCTTGGAATTTTCCCCGAGTGGTTTTTCGTGTCGGTCGGTTTTGAGTTGGGAAAATTGAAAGGGGTTTCTGCAATTTCCGGAAGACTTTCCATACTGGTTATGATACCAGCACCAGTCGGGGTTATCAGTCTCTCGTGGTTTAGAGACAGATCGCTTACGTGAAGAGCTTCTTCGAGGGGTGTGTGACCGTTTACGGTCGTTACGAAACTTAAGATAATGTGTAAATGTATGACATAACTCTGTTATGTCATTTTGGGTCGTTTGAGGTTTTTCTTTGACTGAAAAAACCTTGGCATTAGAAAATTTGGTGATTTCTAAGATGCGGTCGGCCGATGCAGCTAACTCGTTTAAGGTGTTTTTTTGAAACGAGGCAAGCACAGCTTGCATCTGTTGAGGAAGTTTGGATAAGAAAAGTTGTTTAAATAAGCCATCATCGAAGGTTCTTTGGCCGATAACCTCCCTAATTCTTTGCAACATGTCCGTAGCAGAACCGTGTTGTAGGTCAATTTTATCAAGGAGTTGGCCTAATCTTTGTCGATCGGTCAGGTCTCCGCGGTTAAAGATAGATCGTTTAAGTGTTTCGTAAGGTTCCGAAACATCGCTAGCAAACATGCTAGGAGTTATGTACCCGTTGAATTCGCGAGGTAGTGCCTTGACTACTACGAGGAATTGTGCACGTGTGTTGATCGCGCCGTGCTTGTGGAAGTCGGCCTCTGTATAGCGAAACCAGGCTTCGATGTTGTCTGGCCATGAAGGTGTAGCGGTAAATAAATCCCCAAAACAAATAGCTCATTAAGTTTTCAACATTGGATGCTGACCACATTAGTTTTCACGGACTCACCTAGATGAAGGCTCTCGGCCATGAATCAGCACAAGATCGCGAGTGAGGACGCCGTGCTCAACAACCCCTGCAATCGCTAGCCAGATTAGATCAGACGGTCCTCGATATATTGATAGTCTATCAAATATATTTTTGAACCTCCTCGCTTCTGTCTTTTGATTTCACTTGGTTGGCAGGATTCATATTAGAAGGTGTTACTGGTTGAAGCGTTGTCAAACCCCGAATACCTGTGGGATCTTCAAAGTCATTAGTTGAACTGAAGTTGAGGACATAGTCTTCAACTTAAGTGCCATGGGTGTCTGTTCATTCATGGTGAAATATGAAGTACGAGAATGAACGAGTGAAAGAATGCATCAAAAACACGGGAAAAATATAACAATATATAAAAAAATTAATACAAGGCAATAATATACAGAATTCCAAAAAGAAACAGACTCACAGTTTGCAATTTGGTGTGCCACATTACGTCGGGCTCGCCGATGAAGATGCCATAGGTATTTGGAGTTTGACGACGCTCTAATTAGTAACACCTACTACGAATCCTAACAAACAATTGAAATCACAAGACAGAAGCGTGGAGGTTCAAAGATATATTTGATGGACTATCAATATATCGAGGACCGTCTGATCTAATCTGGCTAGCGATTGCAGGGGTTGTTGAGCATGGCGTTCCCACTCGCGATCTGGTGCTGATGCATGACTGAGCGCCTTCAGCTAAATGAGCCCGGTAAAACTAAAGCGGTCGGCAACGAATGTCGGAGACTAATAGAGTGATTGATTTTGGGGATTTATTTACGTTTATATACTCTCACCTGACCTGGTATATTTATTATCCTTACAGATCTCTTCAAGCTTACGAAAACGATTTGCGCCACACATTTTTAAACAAGCAAAGCGATTATCTTAGATTTTCATTGGAAAATTTTCTGTCAGCTATGTTTGCTTTACAAGTATTGAAGGATTGAAGAATTGTAGACTAGCGGGAGCGATTAATAATAACGATACAGGGTTAGTAAACGGTGGTTTTGGTGCTAACTTTTGACATTATGGCGAACTTGCGCAGACTAAAAAAACTTTACCCCCAAATTTTTACAGCCAAAACTGTAGTAGATTATGTTAATAAACAGGAATGGGTTGATTTTGAGGTGATTTTAACTCAGGTCATTAGAAATAAAATTATGCTTTGCAACCGTGCTGGTGATACACACGGAAGTTACGTCAATAGCAGTTTCCAAAGTAGTCTTTATTGGTTGTTATAGAGGTGTTCATCACACCTATGAAAACTTCAGTTTTCTTCGTTTCGAAATTATGTGATTCACATATATTCCTAAGCTCACAAGCATCAGCTGAGACAGGGTTTGGCAAGTAGACTTTTCATCAGAACTTGCTTACTTTATGTAGCTGTCAGGTCAAAAACACCTAGGTTTTGTGTCATGTGGTCAAGCATGTCGTTTGTTTTTTATGTGCATAGTTGGTTCAAATCATCATACTTTTGTGTACAATAAAATATCAGAGCATATTACTTAAAGTCATATAACGAAAAGTTGATTTCAATCATTTATAGTGCTTCACACTTCCTGGATCAAATGGTTCACATGTGAGTCTTGTCGCACTCCTTTTGTGACTAGTTCATAAGTTTCTTGGTGTTCAGTGTTGGTCCCTTTATTGCATCTCTAATTACTTTTTAATGTCAAGATTTCCAAAATCGTTTCGGTTTGTAAAATAATTGTTTCGTGTCCGCTTCTTAAGTGGCATTGTGGCAGACGGGTATATTTCTTTCTGGTCGTAATTGGATTACGATGTGATAACTGCAACAAATGATGCCATAACAAATACAGTGAACTCACTATATCCGCTTATGGGGATTACAAATATGGTGAGCATAGGAAACTTGGAATGTATTGTCATTTGCTAACGTCAGAAGTAAATAATAGCAAAATTCAATCATTTAGTTTCTCACTCTAAAGGATCGACAGAATAAGCTGTAGAGGTGGCGTTATTCAGTGCTTAAAGAGCACTGTAACCATACGAGATATCAAGACAGTGGTACACAAATCACGAACATTTGAGTTGGTGCAGTGCCGGCTTGGATGTAAAGAGTAAGACTAGTTGTAGTTTACCGTAGCCCTTAATGTATATTAGATTATTTCCTCTCAATTAAGTTGACTAATATATTAGTTAAGATCTGGGAGTTGGACGTTATCCCATCTGACTGGTCACAATCACTTATCGTCCCAATATATAAGAGAGGGTCAAAATCATCCTGTGATAACTATAGAGGGATTAGTTTAACTAGTACAGTATCTAAAATACTAGTCTCGATAATTATCGGATGTCTAGCTAAGACTCGTGAACTGCAAACACGAGAGAATCAAGCTGGCTCCAGACCTGGTCGTGGCTGCACCGACCACATATTCATCATTCGTCAGGTTCTAGAACACAGGCATACTTATCGGCGTCCGACAATGGTTGTCTTTTTTGAATTAAAAGCAGCATTTGACTCTGTAAACCGCGATATTCTGTGGCAGTGTCTGTTATTGAAAGGCGTACCTCAGAAGTACATAAACCTTGTATAGGCTCTTTACTCGAACACTACTAATCGAGTCAGAGCTTATGGCGAACTGTCATCTGCTTTTGCAACATCAAGTGGTGTCCATCAAGGCTGTCCACTGTCTCCATTTTCGTTTAACTTCATCATAGACCTACTGATGAAAATAACGTTCTCGTCGACTGAATTCTCGGGTATTGAGATCCTTCCAGGAGGTCCACTTATCGACTTAGAATACACAGATGACATAGTTCTGTTTGCTGAAGACGTTGATAAAATGCAGTCTTTTAGTAGCACTGAGTAACGATGCCAGAATTTTTGGAATGCATTTCTCTCCCTCTAAATGCAAGTTGTCGCTTCAGGACTGGTCTGCGTCAACACCTGAACTAAGGATAGGGAGTGAAGTAGTCGAACGCGTTGACAACTTCACTTATCTTGGAAGTCTGATCAGCCCTAATGGGTTGGTGTTTGACGAAGTCTCAGCACGGATTCCAGAAGCTCGTTTGGCTTTTGCCAACTGACGTCACCTATGGCGAAGGCGAGATATCCGTCTACCAATAAAACGACGAGTATACTGCGCGGCAGTCCGTTCTGTTCTACTTTACGGCAGTGAAACATGGCCATTAAGAGTAGAAGACACTCGTAAGCTACTAGTATTTGACCACAGATGCCTTAGAAATATTGCTGGCGTCTGCTGGGATCACCGGGTAAGTAATAGTGAGGTTAAACGCAGGATATCAGGGAATGGTGGTAAATAAGTTGATGAGATTGTGAATCTTCATCGACTTAAATGGTTGGGTCACGTGTTGCGTATACCTGAACACCGATCACCACAACGTGCAATGCTAACCGGTGTTGGGGATGGTTGGAAGAAAGTTAGGGGCGTCCAAACCAAAACGTGGCATCAGTCCTTGAAGACACTAACTTCTAGTCTGAGCCATGTTGGTAGATGCGGACTACTTGGTCGGGGTCCACGTGACTATCGTAACTAATAGTTGGAGACTGTGGTTGACATGACTCAGAATCGATCACAATGGCGTAGGTGTTTACACTTTATGTCTTCCCTTAAAGTAACATTAAAATCACTTCATATCTTTCTTTCTACGAACTAATTCTTTCCTCCTGTACTACATCCTTATATGCAATCTTTCTTTTATGTATTATTACCATTGAATTAACTACTATGAATTTGGTGTTCATCTTGCTGTGCTAATGCGGTGTGGCAACCCGGACCGATGCATTTATGTGCCTGGTCCTACGTTGTAGCTGACTGACTGACTCAAACAAACTACAGTCCTGGTCAAACCAGTGCAGTACATTCATAATGGGTGACTTCAATGTACCTTTTATAAAGTCAGCCAGTCAGTAACAACGTAGAGCTTCTTACGTACGTACATCATTTCGAGTTGCCATACCACATTAGCACAGAGATGTAGTTGTTCATTCAAATTCCGTAGTGGTAGAGGTAGTAAGAGTATAAGCAGTAACCTTTTTAAAGTGAGCTTAGAGTCAGGTTCATCAAAAAGCCGTTTAACTAAAATCTTCTAGAAATCAAAATCTCGCTCTCTTTATTACAGTACATTATGGATCTCATCAGATGACATGGCGCTCATCTATCCTACACTTAATCACCACTCATAATGATAATTCTAATCAAGTACCCTTCACTCATACGGAGAAGTAATGATTAATTACTTACTTTACTTACGCCTGTTACTCCCAATGGAGCATAGGCCGCCGACCAGCATTCTCCAACCCCCACCCTGTTCTGAGCCTACCTTTCTAGTTCTGTCCGATGTTTGTTCATTTTTCTCATGTCTGTCTCCATTTCTCGATGTAATATGTTCTTTGGTCTTCCTCTTCCCCTCCGGCCTTGAGGATTCCATGTGAGGGTTTGCTTTGTGACGCAGTTGGGTGCTTTCCTCAATGTGTGTCCTATTCACTTCCAGCGCTTCTTCCTGATTTCTTCCTCCACTGGTTTCTGGTTTGTTCTCTCCCATAGTAGGTTGGTGCTCATAATGTCTGGCCAACGAATCCCAAATATTTTGCGTAGACAGCTATCAATAAACACTTGTATTTTCTGTATGATGACTTTCGTAGTTCTCCAGGTTTCCGCCACATACAGTGGAACTGTCTTGACATTTGTATTGAAAATTCCGACCTTGGTGTTGGTTGACAGTTGTTTTGAGTTTCAGATGTTCCTCAGTTGTAAATATGCTGCTCTTGCTTTTCCGATCCGCGCCTTCACATCAGCGTGAGATCCACCGTGTTCATCAATGATGCTGCCCAAATATGTAGAGGTTTTTACATCTTCCAAATCTTCTCCGTCAATTATGATTGGATTGGTGCATGTTGTGTTGTATCAGAGAATCTTGCTTTTCCCTTTGCGTATGTTGAGACCTACTGCTGCTGAGGCTGCTGCTACACTGGTTGTCTTCTCTCGCATTTGTTGTTGTGTGTGCGATAGAAGAGCCAGATTGTTTGCAAAGTCTAGATCGTCCATCTGCATCCTAGCTGTCCACTGTATCCCATGCTTCCCCCCAGATGTTGACGTCTTCATGATCCAGTCGATCACCATGAGAAAGAGAAAGGGTGTTAGTAATCAACCTTGCCTGACACCGGTTTTTACCTCTAACGACTTTATCACTTGTCCTCTATGCACGATTTTGTAGTTTAATCCATCATAGGAGTTCCGTCTGATATTGACTATCTTCTCAGGTATGCCGTAGTGTCATAGAAGCCTCCATAGTGTTGTCTTGTCCACGCTATCAAATGCTTTGTCGTAGTCAATGAATTTGATGTGGAGTGATGAATTTCATTCAATTGATTGCTCCACAATGATCCGTAGAGTTGCGATTTGGTCTGTACACTATTGATCCTTACGGAATCCGGTCTGTTGGCCTCGACGTTGGGTGTCTACGGAGTCTTTCGTTCTGTTTAACAGCACCGATTTAAAGACTTTTCCTGGTAATGAGAGATGCCCCTGTAGTTCATACACTTTCTGAGGTCGCCTTTCTTTGGTATCTTGATCAGGTATCCTTCTCTCTAGTCTGTTAGCACTTGTTCTTCATCCCAAATCTTACTGAAGAGAATGTGCAATATCCTTGCAGTTACTGCTACATCTGCTTTCAGTGTCTCTGCTAGAATGTTGTCTGATCCTGCTGCTGTGCCGCTTTCGATTTGTCTGATGGCCATGCTGATTTCTTCAATTGTTGGTAGGCCAACATTGATTGGGAGGTCCGTGGGTGCTGCTTCGATGTCGGGTGGGTTCAGTGTAGCTGGTCGATTCAAGAGTTCTTTGAAGTGTTCTACCCACCTGTTTCGCTGTTCTTCGATGTTGGTGATTACGTCCCCTTCCTTGCTTTTCACTGGTCGTTCTAGTTTACGATGATTTCCAGAGAGTTTCTTTGTCGTGTCATGCAGTTGTCTCATGTTTCCTTCTCTTGCAGCCTTTTCCTCCGTCGTTGCTAAATCTTCCACATATTTACGTTTGTCGGTTCTGATGCTCCTCTTCACTTGTTTGTTTATTTCTGTGTATTCAGCTTGTGCCTTGGCTTTTTCTGCTCCTGTTCGACTGGTATTGAATGCTGCCTTTTTGTTCCTCCTTTCTTGAATCTTATCCAGTGTACCAACAGTGATCCATTCCTTGTGATGGTGCTTCTTGTGACCCAGGACCTCATGACATGTTGAAGTGATTGCTTCTTTGATCCCCTTCCAGTTGCTCTCCATAGTAGTTTCTTATCCATTGAGTAGATCATGAAAGGCCTGGAACTTATTGCTGAGGACTATCTTGAATTTGTTGAGTTTGTTAGTATCCTGAAGAAAGGCCGTATTGAAATTTTTTGTGATATTGTCCGCCCCGTTGTCCAGTGCTTCTTGAGTTTCAATTTCATCTTGGCGACCAGCAAGTGATGATCTGATGCTATGGCAGCTCCTCTCTTGGTTCTCACGTCCTCTATAGTCCTTCTGAACGTTTTGTTGATGCAAATATGGTCGATTTGGTTTTGCGTGGTGTGATCCTGTGAAGTTTATGTGGTTTTGTGTATGCGTTTGTACGGGAATATAGTCCCGCCTATGACCAGTTTATTGAAGGCACATAGGTTTGCAAATCTCTCACCATTTTCGTTCCTTTCTCCCAGTCCATGTCGTCCCATGATGTCTTCATATCCGGTGTTGTCCATTCCGACCTTGGCGTTTAGGTCTGCCATCAGAATGGTCAAGTCCTTTGTTGGGCACTTCTCGATGATTGACTGCAGCCTATTGTAGAATTGATCTTCAGCGTCTTCATTGTAATCGTTGGTAGGCGCATAGCATTGGATGATGTTCATTGTAATGCCCTCTTTCTTTGTTTTGAAGGAGGCTTTGATGATCCTTGGTCCATGAGATTCCCATCCTGTAAGTGCCTTTTGTGCTTGTTTGGACAGCATCAATGCAACTCCTTGTGTATGTTGGAGCATTTTCTTGTTCATGGCCAGAGTATAACAGAAGCTCCCCTGAAGCTAGTCGTTGTTGTCCAACTTTCGTCCAATGTGTTTCACTGATCCCAAGCACATCTAGGTTGTATCTCCTCATTTCTGCAGCAATTTGGAAGACTCTCCCGGTCTCTCACATTGTACGAACATTCCATGTACCTAAATAAATGGTTGCTCTGGTTGTCAGAAGGGGGATCGGCCCCCAAATACCCTGGTACGGCCGAAAGTGGGGAAAGTCCGCTCTCCCTCTCGAAATGCTCTCACATGGCCACGCGTATATAGCCTCTGCCAGGGAAGTTCTACTCACTGCCTTCTCGTGGCGGGGGTGTTATTTACAAAAATGAGAGGACGAAAAGCGAATGTCCGGCGCTTTAACCGGATCCCAAACTGATGGTGCACATGGGCTCCAGTATCCTGCGGGAACAAATGGCGTATGAACCAATCTTTGGTCACCGGCTACCATGGGATTGCATCTCCTTACGATGCTCCACTGCCTTGTGGGTTAGACCTTTAGGTCAAAGGCTCGGGGAGTGGCCCCCTAAGAAAACCACCTGCTTCGGTTTGGGCACCCGGGCAGTATCACAGCCCTCGCACATGTCGAATAAGATTTGTGTGGCGCATATGTATTTGGTGCCTTCTTGTACCAATATCTATGTGTTAAAATAAAATAAAAATAAACATCGGCCTCGTGACTTCCGAAGGAACTCAGCTTTCACCATGAGGTGTCATAACTCTTCTAAATGAAGACCTCCCAGGGCAGAGTTTAAATTATCTGAATAATTTTTCCTGGTTACCTTTTTGAACGAGTTAGTTTTCTACGGGATGGGGTCGCTAATCCCGTGCCCAGCCCTCCTCTATCCGGGCTTGGGGCTGGCAGTAGCCCCAGACGGGCTCCCGGCGGAGTCAGGAGAAATCTTAGGGTCGTCATATTCAAGTTGATTGTTGTTATCCAACCCCGCGATCCATCTTAATATATGGAAGGCAGACGTAAAAGTGATCAGCTCTGTGGCCTTAAATGAGAAAATATGCACAGAAGTGCCAGTAGAAGTCATGGAGCCACTTCTGCCAGTTATACAGCTAAGCAGTTAAACCATTTATGCCCTGGAAAGTTCCGATAATGAAAAAGCAGTTCCATCCCCGGATAAACTGGAACATTCAACTTCTATTGAGAAAAGAGAAAGTAAACGTTGCAATGTCATTATAAGTCTTGGAAAAGTAAATGCAATAGAACGCTGCAAGTCGATCTGGAAAAAGTACAAAAACAATATACGAAAATCACTTTTCACAAACTGCAGCTAAGAAGTTAAAGCGACTGTCCTTATATATCAATCATAGAACAAGGACAGAACCCATGGATTCCCAGTTTAATTACGAGAGTTCATCCTAGTTGATAGAGCGAATCCAGGATAGAGTAGAAGCCATGAGTGAAGGCTTCGTGACTATTTCCACTCACGAGCCTCCTGTCAATATAGGACTAGCCCCCGAAACTGTCGCCAAATCAGTCACTCATTGTGGACCTACGCCAGAATGAGTCACCAAAAGGACTAAGCAATTTAGACAAAATAATCAGGACCGAATACGTTACACTCCTGGCTCCGTTCCAGGTCTCTTACTTTTCATACCCTATGTAAATAAATTCCCACGTATTGTAAAGTCTCTGATGCCACTTTACTCTGATGTCAACATGTGGCGAAAAGTACTTGAGAGTACCGTTGCTTGTGGATTTCTGGCCGATCTAGACGTTTGGCAAGCTGGTTTAAATTGTGGTTAATGCCCTATCAATACAGTTATATTTCTACATTCACATTGGACACATGCGTAAATAGCGAAACATGGGGAAAACATCAGTGTCCTTAGTCCTGTATCATAGCCATCTGGCAGTAATAGTGGGTCGCAATCTTCGAACCGCACCATACTGCCGTGCAGTTGTATCTGAAGGGTTGAGAACCATGTGAGCATCAAGACGAACATTAATCAAGTTGGATACAAATATGTTTGCCATGGTATGTACAGCCGTAGTGAGATCCAGACTTGGAGATTTTTCATGCTCCAAGGCCCTGTTTAATTGACTCGAACATCTTGAAAAAAGTATTGAGGATAACTACCCGTGCAATTCCGGAATTCTAAGGCTTACCATACACAGTAGGGGTTGAGAATTTAGATCTAATTTTTTTGTATGGGATACTAAGTGGGAATCTTTCTGTCTTTTCCTTAGGGTATAATATACTTGTTTCAAGCATTTACTGGTTTCTAAAGAATTTTGTACCTTACTCAGCACTTACTTTTGTGCACTTCCTTACAGGAATATGGCTGGCAGTAGGTGGCCGGCTGCAGTGGCTCCTACTAACAGAGTCGGCAATGCTTCTCGAGCAAAACAAGTTATTTTCGAACCTACATTTGCCAAAGTATGTCTTTATCATACGAGGTATAGATTTTATTAAGATGGAAAAAGAGAATTACGCTTTAACTCAGCGACTAAAGGAAGCTTTCTATAAGGTAAGTTTGAATTAGGATACAAATTCGTGCCTATATTAGGTAGAGAAGCGGTATCCTGGTTTCAGTAAAGATTTCATGATTGGCTTGCTTCAGCGGATGGGAGTCGATAGTGAAATCGACGTGACTGAAACGTGTTTACGGATTGCTGCTCTTCAAGAATGTGGTATTGCCTTTGATGTTTTTTTAGATTGCATGTAATTTCAGATAATCCAAGGACATCAAGAAATCCTAGGGTTTTGGAGTTGGAACTTACGGCTAAGACCCTGAAAACTATTCTTAGTAGCATACCTGATGAAATTATCGACCGCAGAGCATTTATAGAAGTCATCAAGTAATTCAATTTTTCAGCAAAAGTTATTTACTTAGAGGAATAGCAGATGCGATAAAGATGTTGTTAGCTGCTGTGGGTGCGTTTTATGATACGTTACCACCAGGAACACAAAAGAAATGTCTTGAAGATCAAAAACGGAAATTTATCACCTACTGTCGTAAATTTAGTGACACTTTGAAGCAGTACTTTAGGAACAACGAGTTAGTGTGGAATTGTTTAACTATAAATTCGATTTTTGCTGTTTCTTGTCTTTTGGTAGCCATCAAAAGTAAACTTAATAAAGATAAAAAACGGCTTCCCTCACAAATGTTTAGTAAAGCTACTGTAGGTATGATAATCTCATCTTAAGCTGTTTATCATCTCGCTTTCTAATTAGACACTCTACTTAGTTCGACTTCTGAGTTTTATTCAAAGTAGTGTACTGGCGAGCTAAGGTTTTTTCTTGTTTCGATTCATTGTTGTCAGTTATTCAGTAGTTCGTATTTAATAACTCTAATCGCACTATACGCTGTTTATTCCACTGTCTTTTTTCTCTCTCATCGTCTTGTTTTAGATGTAATGCGTTGACTTTGTCTGACCAGTAATTGGAATTAGTGGTGTTGTAATTCAATATGTTAAGCACTCAACTTTTAACCTATTCTCGACGTGTCTAAAATCTGCCTTAAACACTTTGGCTAAAGCAGTTAGGTTACAGATCATACCGTAAATTCACAAAAACCCGACAGATTAATATGTTCTAAATTGTATTAGATTTATTAAGCGTAAGCCATCACTAGTTAAACATTGTCATCTCCTTCCATCTGTATACTGACCTTTATTTGTTTTATGAGGTTAAATTTATCTCAGTCCGATGAATTTTGACAAGTTCTCTCGAGACCGACTATATCGTACAGGGGCTAAAACAGGTCTCGGTGTGTTGGTTATGTACCTATTAATTCTACTTGTTCACCGGGAACACTAATTGTGAGGTCCGCTTATGCCACACGGTTGCCCAAGTCGAAGTAAATTGGACGGATCTCGGACCTGTGACTTAGTGTCTTAGTTGCCTTAATCACTGAACTACGGCTCCGTTAACCTGTTAAATGGTTTCAGAATTACATCAGTGACAAGATTTTTAGCAGTTGTTTGTTGTACGAAACTTTTAAATAACTAGTAAATTAGTTCAAAGACTTCATTTTTGGTTCATTTCTGTTTTTGTTCACCAGTGACGTACTTAGTATTCTGTTCATGATATATATATATATATATATATATATATATATATATATATATATATATATATATATATATATATATATATATATATATATATACAATAGTTGTTGATCTGTACGTTTAGTAATAAATTAGATGACTGATTTATTTAATTCACCTAAAATTGGGTATAAAGATGCCGGAATTTTATGAACCACTCAAAAGGGAGTGAGGCAGAACACAAAATAAGTGAACTAAAATAGTATATAGAAGAAGACATAATTCTGTAAAAATACGACCAACAAGGACTCGCAGTTTAGAAAATTCATCACATTTTTTTGGATTATGCAGAAACATTGCAGCAGGATTGCCATTGGCTTCTATTTTGAGCCATGTCGAATAGTGTTTCAATAATTGGGTCGAACCATATTTAGAACTTCGACTAGAGATTCTCGATGTCCCATACATCTACTTTCCATACAACATCGCCATGTCATAAACTGACCACCTCTCCTCTTCTTTTCCGATCAATCCAGGGGTTATTGAATAATGCACGAAGTAGAAGCTCCTGTGATGATATTCTTTACACATTCTCAAGCCATCGACGTCAAAGTTTCAAGATGGTGGCACTGGTAAAATTACCGTCACTGTACCGAAACACAAATCACAGGTTTGAGATCCATGGCTACGTCGGAACTTTCCAGAATATCAATTACAAAGTTTATGAGGATTGGTGGGATTTACCAGTCCTACTTAATCCCACTGCTGAAATGAGACGATTAAGAGTGTAGTTATATGCTATCGTTTTCCACGAAGTGTTTGTTTACAGGGGTTTTATGATATTCTCAGGCACACCCTTCAACAAATAATCATAAAGCATAGTCCTGTCTTGCAAATAGAACGTGCCCCTGATATCAAGAAGCTAACTGTTAATCTGCAATAAAAGTGGTTGTGCTCTGACATTCGGTGATGTGTGTGGAAATGATCAACATACCTATAACCAGATCAAAAACTGGCGTACTCCTTGCAGATCAGTCTATATATATAGTCAAATGATTGCGTGTATGCTGGAATATTTAGATCATATTTAATAACTTAATGCTCATATGCTCATATTGCTTATCGTTTATGGCTCACACGACAACCTTAGCGACCGTTTTACATCGGAGTTATTTCTAATTAACTGTGATTACATACATGATATCACTTCTCGAATATTCCCGGGTTTGACGTGTTTCGGTGTCTAGTTTCATTGTTATTTTGTGTAGTTCGTAAAGGTTCTCAGTTTGACTACGTTGATTTACAAATATTGATCATCATTAGGACGTTATAATGAGATAAAGAAATTTTCTGTACGTTTGTAATTTCTATGAATTTTATTTAATATTGATTTAATCTCCACTGTCCAAAAAATCAACCATTATTGTGTTATTTAAACTGAATTAATTCTCAATTGTTTGACCTTTCCTTTTTTAGTCAAACTGTGGTTTTCAGCAGCGCAAACCTTCTGGTTAGCCAAACCAACCTAATTTTGTTTGTGGTTCATGATGTAGATTGAAGAAAAGGGAAAAATGCCACCATTGTTAATATTTTGTGCTTACTTCGGATTATATTTCCTTATGAATGTGATTTATGAATAGTTGAAGAATTAGTTTTTACATCTATAGTAAACTGGTTACTTTTTTTAAACATTAAAATTGCGATTTCGCGTTACTTTTTTCCAAATATTTGACTAAGTGACAAGTTATTTTGCATCATTACTTATACTTTCTTTATTTCCAGCTCCTTGTAAATTGAGAATAAAAGCTTTTTACGAAATAGGATATAAAATTATTTGTGTTTCAAGTTTGACTTTTACGCTGCATAGTGTGACCTTTATGACAAACCATATAAACTCGTACAATTTATTTAGCTACTTGTGATGGATGATCTTAAAATAATCATAGAACTAAAGTAGACTATATCTGACTGATCCCATTAGTCAATTCCCACCATACATTCATCTATGTTTTCTAAATACTTAATTACTTATTATACACGGCTGATTTTAAGCCTAAAGGAATAGCATACAAGGTAATTCAGTAAGTTTATCGTTTTGGTCTGATATCTAATCCACGATAATGTTCGTGAATTCACTACATTCAGACGACAATTGAAGCGTGGATTTTTTTATTACATTTGTGCTATTTTTAGAGTAAACAATTTAGCCTAATGGAAGTATTTGTAGGTCAGAATGAGAATTCTGATTGCTTTGTTACCTGAGCTGGATGGTTTAATCATAAAGCTTTTATTGTCTTTCTCGACAGAATTGTTAATATAAACTTCAGTGAGAAATATTATTAGAATTTCTCTACAATTTTCTCCCTACTTGTCCTGTTGACCTAGAATTTGGTTGGCTGTTGCCTATAGGTGTGCTGCAGTTGTTTACTTTGATTGTTTGTCCCTCAAAACCTGGCGTTGTATATAGTTTTTCTTGTTTGTTGCCAATGTCTGGTTGACAAATTTGTCTTCTAGAGTGCGATGTTGGCGATTGTTAAACATGCTCGGAAGGTAGACTGTTAGTCACTTTTTGCCTGATATTTACTAGGTCAATTCAGTCATTCTATACTGGATCTAAATTCATGACGAACACTAGTAATACGGAAATATTTTAAATGGATTGTGCGGGATCCGTCATATATACAGTGGAAACGACTCACCGTACAGCCCACATAATTTTATGTTCACTTCACGTGTGTAGAGCCATGTGTAGATAGACCCATCTACGTATCCTACGCACACTAATTATGCATTGAATTTGATAAAAGCTTGCCGCTATTCACGAACAAGTTGACATAAGTACTGCTTTGATATAGGATTACGGATCTTTCTACATATGGCTCTACACACGTGAAATGGACATAAAACTATGTGGGCTGTACGGTGAGTTGTTTCCACAGTAAATATGACGGATATTACACAATCCATTAAAAATATTTCCGTATTACTAGTGTTCGTTATGATTAGTTGTCTGTTTTATCACCCCTATCCTTATTCACTTCACTTCGACTCTTTCGCGTATTGTTTTATACTACTTAATAATATCCAGAAAATTGTTGTATTAGCAATTTCTGCGCTTACGTTGTAACACAAGTTTGTCGTGTAATATCCCGAAATATTTACATATACTTATAACATTTATTGTATTTATCATTATAATTACTATGTCTCAACTGCTGTAGCAGTTATCCACAGTTTTGTGCATTTGTTTAAACGCAACGGTTTCCATATAGTTTTCTCTTGGCTCTGATTTTGCTTATTGTTAAACTGTTACCAAGTTTAGACACAACTATCAGCTGTCTTTTGCACTATCGTATGTTGTAATTATTTTTTGTTACTGTTACAGGAAGCTCTTTTTATTTCATATAAAAGGACGCGTTAAACACTGCAGATACCTCACAAGTTGAGGTTTGTAACTCAATTTTGTATATTAAATAAAGAACCGCTATTTTAGACAACCCGTTGTTTTGTGAACTTCGATTTTGCACGTATCTCAATTGGGTGACTTGGACACTTTGATAAACTTAACATGATTTATGATCCACACCATATCTTCCTTCGTTCAGGCAAACATAATCGGGGTTCCGCACCCACAGTTATCTGTAGAAACCAACTGAAAGAGTTCATAACTAAAGACATTCTATAGGCAGAACACTTTCACTTACTTTTCGATGAAGTTTTGTTCTCTGAGCTGAATGGTTTAGTCGTAGAGCTTTCATTGTTCTTCTGAACGACATTATCAGCACAAACTCCAGGTAGAAGTCTACCTGAGCTACAAATCTTTACCATCTCACTTTCACTTACATCCTGTTAGTGTTGCATGTCGAACCGAGGCAAATTGCTTCAGGAAAACATGTATACATTTCAATTTGCTCATAGTACTGAATTCTCCTCACTTGGTTAGCATCCCCACCATAGCATACAAGTACTTTTTCACTACGTAAGGTTGAAAGCACATAAATGAAACTCTCACAGCCTGAAAAACCATAGATCTATAGGAAAAACTCACGTTTGACAACTTTATATTTCAAATTATTGACATAATGAACGATAATGGTCTCTCCAGAATTGTCTTCGACATATTTAACAATCTGCTCAGGGTGACTCCCAGTTTTTATCATCCGTATAACAACTAGCAACTGATCAACATTTAATTTTCTGTACCACGCATCTTATGTCAGATACTTCTCATCACAATAATGGTTGTGGATCATCTTAGATGAAGCTATTATATACCGATTGAGATCATACCTCAAACGAAACATGGCTTTGCAACCAGTAAACTTTGATCTATACATAAGTTAGTATAATAACAGTTATTCACTCTGACGATGACCCTCCGGCTTCCTTTTATGGCCAAAACAACAGATATACACTACGTTCTGGTAACTGATCTCCGGCTTTCCAATGTTCAGTTTGCTTTCATGCTCGACGTGATGCGTTCAAGTCATCCAATAATGTTATATGATACATTTTCAATAACAAACCTTCCGTGATAGATCGGTAGCATCTCTGACTTGGTCCCAGGTTGTCAGGTGCCTGGGTCTCATAACCCTTTCGAAAACACTGCTATCCACACAGACTGGATATTCAGTGTTAGTTTGACTCGTTGATAGGATAGGGTTGTCCATAATACTGAAGAAAATAAACCGGAGATCGTTTTCTTTCATTGCTCTTGATAACATCGTAAATGACAGGAACGAACATGCAGATAGAAAATCCCACGTGGCAGCAACATTTATTCTAGCTAAAAGACGCTAACTCTGTTTTCCATATCTACAAAGTAATACACAAAACAAAACGGATTAATATTTTATCATATGAGCACATAAACACGCCTGGAAGAATATACTGATTTGAGTAGTAGTAACAAGAGGAGGGAACGTAACTGATTCAAAAATGTTAACGCCAAAATTTAGAGGACCATATGAATTACAGAATTTCAGCACACTGAAAGACTAAATTTTGCAGCGACACGAAAAAGCCAGTGGGAAAACAGACCTAGACAAGCCGACGGCCGTTGCTTGCAAAGATGGCTGAGATGATGGTTCCTGTTTCATTCTGATTGGCCACCAAGTGGGCTGCCAAAATTGCGAATCGAATTTGAGTTCATTTCCATTCAAAAAATAGTGAACACGAAATTGAATGAAGTTGATCTTAATTATAAATAGTTGTATGTTGTGTATTGTATCGTCTGGTGATTAGTCGATGATAATATCATATTATTTACTTTTATTCTTATTACTATGTTATATTCTAGCGGAGGTTAAATTATAGGTAACTTTTGAGAGCTATTAATGGACTAATATTATACATGTATTTTCATTATATAATTATTGGATAACTAGATTATGCTTATTTATATTCCGCTTATCATAAGCTTTATTTTGATTTATGGACTATTATTTCACAATTTGCTATCCTTAAGTTTTACCTAGTTTATTAATTACACTTTCTCACTATCACAGTCACTCTTTGGCTTGATCTTGTCCACTCGTTATTTTTTATTTGTGGTATGATGTGGTCTGGTTGGCTTGTATATAAACCAGGTATGTTTGAAATATATGATCCATATGATGGGAGTTGGTACTGACATTCTAGACTTAACAGGCAGGGCTAGGCAGTAAAAGGACCAATAAGGACACTAAGCTGCTCTTACCCGTCAATACGTCATTGGTTCGACACAGTGCTAAAGTCGTACAAGTATTATGGATTGGTGATTTTACCACGTCATATATTAATCAGGCACAAGTCACGACACATTATATCGTAAAAACATGATATATTTTTATCCTTTTCTGAACTCCACTGGCTTTGAGGATCAGTTTTCTTTAAAAACTTCGATTGCTGGCAAAATACTTCTTATAGGTCAAACCGATAGTGATTGATGAGTGATTGTGTATCTAATAGAAGACAACTGAAAACAGAGTTACAGTTTATACGGAGGATTAAAAGCGTCCTTCATATATTTCACACATTACACTTCTCAAAATATGGTAATAAAATTTATTGATCATTAAAAATTTAAGTGTCTTGTCTATTTGTTGATTTTAGAACAAGTCACCAAAAATGTTACAAGTTCTTTACTATTCATGAACGTATTTATAAAATAAATAATACAAATAATGAAATAGTTGAGACGATTTGTAACTCAGGTGGATGATTTCGACTTCTACCTGAAGTTCGTGCTGATGATATCGTTCAGAAGAATGATGAAAGATCCACGACCAAATCATCCAGCTCAGAGAACAAAACTTAATCGAAAACTAACAATGAAGTCGTACGTTATGCTGATAAGACAATCGCCAAGCAGACATGACTAAATCTAAACATAATAGGAATAAGGAATTAGTTATCATGTGAAATCGTTAGTATGGCACAAAAATAAATATATGTTATCTGTTGCATGAACAAATAGTATTGTTAAAGAAGCATGATTGTTAAAATCACAGGCAATATGAAGTTCTATCTTCTGAAGCGTTTAGTTATAGTCTGGATTACATGATATACTTTTGACGAGGTTGTTTAAGACATTTCAAAGAATAGATCATTTCGAGTTAATCATTAATAGACTGAAATGAATGCTTCTGTCGATCCGTTGGCCCTACTTGTTGCATGAATTCCATAAAATTAATCTCCGAAATTTCAAGTTCATGTATGTGCAGATATGGTTCGAACTCACACCCATAACTGTCTTTTCGACATAATTTGTTACTATAATATCAATAAACTTAAAATATAGTATAGAGCACTTTTTAATGAAATTGTTTCGAACTGACTTCATTCAAATCAAACCTTCATAATTT